TCTTTAATTCTATAGATATATTATAACCATATATGTATTGTCCCTTGAAAATTAAATGCCATAGTTCATTTTGGTAATTATTATTTTTCTTCTGTTTAGCATTTGAATTTTATTTTTCCCTTCACAAGCATCTCAAATCTTTCATTACTCTATACAATTGTAGAAAATTGTTAACATAGTACGTACACTATCATTCAGGCATCTTAAATCTGTGATATATATATTTTGGAAAGATTGTAAAAATATATATTCTGTAATTGGCAATTTTCGAAAACAAAATAAGTCCAAGTCGAATTGTAATTCAAGTTATTATATCGGGATCTATGGCGACTGCAGAATTGGAAGGTTGTTTAAAGTTCCCATGACTGAGATCATGCGAAAGGTAAGAGCAACACTTTAAGAAGAAATTCAAAAAGGTTAGGACACATTCCATATTTGGTAAGTTTCAGAATATATCAAAAACAGTGCCTAAAACCTTAAGAATCAAGTATGGCAGACTTGAACCTGTTCATGCTTCTTGGAACATGTTCAAGCGATTTGAATTTGGCCTAGAAATCATTCTGTCATCCTTGAACCTATTCCCAATTCTTTGAATAGGTTCAAGTCTTCAACATTGGCCTCAAAATACATTCTGCCATCCTTGAACCGGTTCCCAATTCTTTGAACAAGTTCAAGAGTCCTGATAGCCTATGGAAAGTTTAGTTTCCTGTTTCTGATTTCTTTCCTAGTTGGTCTAGAATTGTTCTAAGTCTTATGCACGAATTTTATTATATTTTCAGAGGGACTAGGACATTTTAAACTCTATATAAACCTTGTCATACACATAGGTTTATTCACGGCTTTTGCATACAAAATTCAGATCTTATTGAAAGTCATCTTTGAGAGATATTTTTATTCAGAAAATCAATTTGATTTTTCTGATTTTATTTTTGGGAGCACACAAATAAACACAAGAGTGATTTAGGAGTGTTGTTCTCTATCTCATCGGAATTGAAGCATAATTGAAGATTCAGAAATTCCGAAAAAGCAGAATTCATTCGTTCTTCGTCAAATTCAGATATAGAAGAAAAAGGGGTGAAGTGATCACACTTTGAAGGGGTCAGAGCATTCGTGGAGTATTGTCTGATCTACCTACAACTCTTCTACAGAGATCGAAAGTAAACCTGAGGTCGAGAGCTATTGGACAGGGGAGTTGCAAAACCAGGGATTGTCAGCAATTGGTTTTTGGCAGAACGATAGGGTGTGAGACTGAGTCAAAGTTCGGTATACTTTATTTCAAACATAGTGAATCGTCTCAGGACTGGAGAGTCCAACGAGGTTTTTCCTATTACAATTGGTCTATTCTACCAATTGGGGTTTCCTCAATAAAATCCTGGTGTCATCTCTCAAACTCTATTTATTTGCACTTTATTTTTGCTTTGTAGTTTAATTTTAGTTTTATTTTGGTAAAATTAAAATAAGTAAAAATTAGATAAAAGAGGAAGTTGAATCTATTTATCATCTCTCTAGATTATCTATCCATATTATATTTCACAACCATTCCGCTGCGCACACTTATCAAAATCTTCATTACTTTACCTAAACATAAATTTCTTTTCCTTCATTACTTTACCTAAACATAAATTTCTTTTCTATTTTATAGGTAAGCCTAAAAGTGATTTTCTTCATACATAGAACTTTCTTGCTTAGTAGCAAATAAAATTAATATACTAGGTTTTTTTTTTTTTTTTTTTTTTTTTTTTTTTTTTTAAGTATAAATGCTTTCAGATGATTAACAAACAAATTATCGAGCACTGAAATTGTAATACATTAATTTAATGCACACTTGATCAAGTTGTAAGAGTAAAGTTACTCGTACATGTATATATAGCGTATGGGTTAAAAAACGTTCACTGATATTAGAATATTTTATCATTAATGGTCCAAGGATACAGTCCCTTCCTTCGCAAAATGAGAAGTTAAGAGTTCGAGCTTCTACGAAGGCATGGACATGTATGGTTATAACTACCTTCAACGTTCACTAACATTAGAATATTATATATATGTTAATGGATTAGTGGTCTAATGGTACAGGCCTCTACTCCCCCAAAAAGGGGTATAATGAGGAGAAAATGATATTTTTGTTCTTCCCTTATATGAAAAGATAATAATAGCGTTACGTATGCAATATACGGTTAATGTACTATTATTATATATAAAGATGTTACTAACTTTTCACATTCAAAGTCACTTTTTAATAGTCGATGAACGGGTTTAGAGGAGACCAAATAATAAACGATAAATGATCTACTTGTGTGTAATTTTTTCAAATCTCAAGGAACCCAATGTAATTTACCCTAAATTATTATTTTTGTCTAATTTTCACTTAATTATATTAAACAAACTAAGGTGATTAAGTGTATATTTAATCAAGATAAAGACATCAGTTGTCGCTAAAACACTAAACATTTAGTAATATTTAAAAAAATGTAAAAAATTTAATTTAGCATTTATAATTTTGAGTGCTTAATTTTTAGTTTTATCAAACATCATTTTAAGTTGTGTGTAATTTTTCCAAATTTTAAAGAACCCCAATGAAATTTACTCTAAATTATTTTTTGGGGTCAAGTACAAAAAACATCCCTCAACTATGTTTACAGTGCATATCACACCCCTTCAGTGCAAAAAATACCCCTCAAATTTTAATTTGGTGCAATCAAGTCCATCTGACACATTTAAAATCAAAATTAACTAAATACCCTTAGTCAACAATTTTATAAAATATATAAAAATACAAAATTTTGTAAAAAGACAAAAAAGGACAATAAACAGTAACTCCCTCATTTTGCACACCCATTCTGCAATCTGCAATTCGACCATGAAGAAGATGACTCCAATTATAAGGACGGCGGCGATGAGATGGCAGAGGAAAGTGTGGCGACCATGGGTATGAAATTGGCGGTGTTAAGCGGCAGTATAGAAGGCGGAAGGCAGTGGTGCCGCTGCGTGGGGTATCCGAAGGTGAAACACGTGAAAGTGGTGCCGGAATTACCCTGTTCGTCCCCACCAACGAAGCGTTCTCGGATCTTCCGGCGACTGCGAAATTGCCAAGTTTCAATCTGCGAAGCCGTTGCTGGGGTGCCGACCGAATGTTTACCAATTCATCATCAACAGCAAACAAATTAACAAACACAACAGTCTCTGGCAAAGAATCAAACTATTTTTGGGTAGTAAATTTACACAGATCTAAAGAAACAATCATTTTCGTTCGTCCTCTACGACCATCAACACAGAAACAAGAGAACAAATAAAATCTTGAAATTGTTTATTGATTGGGAAACAAGAACAAACAGGTGGCGCTACCCTTTTTTTACTAAAAGGGTAGCTAAAAAACCATCTTCCCTCCTTTTACTTCTTCCCCCGCCACAAGCTCCAAAAGCCATCACCATGTGAACACAGACCTGAAAGAGGAGTGAACCAATTTTGGTTCAGCATTTGACAAATCTCCACCACACCCACCTGACTCTGCAAGCAACCAAGCCTTGTAACCTTGTTCTGCTCTAAATTAGAGGGACTCTTCTCACTTTCTCTCTCATCTTCGCTGGTGGCGCTTCGCTGCCGACGAGGTGGACCAACACAGGCCAATACAAAATCCTAAATCATCTTAGAGGCTTTCTAGAGTGATTGCAATTGTTTTGAGAAACCCCATTATGAAACAGAACTATATGAAAGCATCAAGAGAAACTCAGAAAGCAAAAGGAGAGATAGAGAGCAAAAATTCCTATTCCAAGTAAAATTGTAGTTTCCATCAAAATTACTTTGCTAAAACACTTCTGAAACTACTTTTGAATTGAATTTGTCAAGATCGACGAAGCGTCATCTATATTTAATATCTCATTGCATTTCTAGAAAGTCAATTTTGGCTTAGTAGACACCTAATGACAACTTGAAAAGGACCTTTCATGGCAAAGTTACAGAATCAACAAAAATATCATAGATCAGTAGTTCGGGAAAGGACAAAAACACAGGGTTTGCTCAACTGGGATGATTGGAAATAGAAGCTCTGAAAGAGCAAACTAGACTTACACGAGAATAGTTCTCTGTGGTTGATCTCCATGGGTGAGGGAAGGCTTAAGCTTTCCCGAGAGATTCTTGTGTACATCTGATCTAAGAGTGTAGAAGATCTAGTCCTTTCCACATACACTTAAAACCGTTTAAATTCGATGCTATAAATAATAATAATAATAACAAAAAAAAAATAAGGCAGAATTCCAATACAGAATACACATAGAATATACACACATAGCGACCCAACAGTAAATTCCCATGCACTCGACGATCATTCCCGTTGATCAGTCGGGGTTTCATTGCTCCATCATTTTCGGGGCACCACCACCAGCCGTTACTCCATTATGGATCCGATAGTAAATTCCCAACCTTCATGGGTGTTTTTGAAAGAGTAAAAGGTTAAAATAAATATTATATTAATTGAGGGTTATTTTTGTACAAATTAAAAAGAATATGGGTGTTTTTTGCACACATTTTTAAATAAGAGATAAAAGTGCTATAAAAGGTACACTTTATGAGTGTTTCTTGTACTTTTCTCTTATTTTTTGTCTAATTTTTACATAATTATAGAGTATTAAACAAACTAAGGTGATTAAGTGTATATATAATCAAGATAAAGACATCAATTGTCGCTAAACACTAAACATTTAGTAAATACTTTTAAAATATAAAAAATTAATTTAGCACTTTAATTTTTAATTTTATCAAACAACACTTTAATTTTTAGTTCGATTTTATCAAGTAACCCACCAAGTTATACCATTGAGCGCTAATGACATAGGTTTGAATTTTGCCGTCCGGCCCAATAAGCCCACTGTTCAGAACTTATACCAGCCTGGCCCTATAAGTTCGTAATTCGAGCGTCCAAACACGACGCAATCGGAACAAAATTAGAAATACTACAAATATAGGGGACTGAAGTGCAAAATCTAGCATAACTGTTGCTTCATTTTGTTTTACAGCTCTGTCAGTGCGGAAAAACCACCGAGAAACAAGCCCGTTGGGCGGAGATAGAGAGAGAAAGAAAGATACATAGAGAGAGAAAGAGGAAGGTCCTTTCAGACTCTTCAAGTCCAAGGTAAGTCTATATTCCAAAACCCTAATTCTTCACACTTACGATACAATATCGCACCTTTAACCTGTCGATCTACATGTTTCAGATCTTTTTAGCTGTCTATAAATCTGTTCAATCTCGTACTTTGTTGATGTAACCGATTGCTTTAGCTTTTTATGTTAGATGATTGAGCACTTTTAAATCCGTATATCATAATTGAAACTGCAATAGTTGCTCATTTTCTTGATTTGTTAGCCCTAGAAGATTGACTTTATTTTTTTCTTTTTTCTTTTTTGTTGAGATTATAATATTTCTATTAATAGGCTAATGTATTGAGTAATTTGACTATTTTTTTTTCTTTTTTTTTGTTGAAATTATAGTTTCTATGAATAGGCTAATGTGTTGAGTAATTTGTTCTTAGAGGCTTTGTTTCAACTGAAAACAGGAATTGTTGAAGCTAACTAAGAACAATTTCTGGGAAATTTAGCTGGGAACTGTTTTATCTATTTGAACAAAAAGACCGAGGGGAAAGAGTAAGAAATGTATTCCTTAAATTGTAATCGAATTTGCATATAATGAAATTTTCTTGCACTTGATAATATATTATTGAGATTTGAGTTATACAAAGACCTTTTTATTAACAAATGTATCGAGGCTCTCTCATGTCAAAAGGAGATAACCCCTGGAAAATTAGTCATGGGTAAAAAAGTATGTTCTTTCAAGGTTTCTTGTATATTGATATGTATTTGATTGCGAATCTTGAAAAAATTCATCAATTAATCTTGCAGAAATGAATTGTACACCCAAAATATACCATCTACCCTTTAGACGATTTTTGTGGAAATTCTTTATCAAAACAAATGAAGCAAAAACTTTAAAAGAAACCATTTTAATGAGATAAATGAAGAAACAGTTCAGCATTGTGTGGCTTCTGATTTGAGTCTTTTAGTTCCTATTAATGAATAATAGAACTAGTAGTAGTCTAGTGCACATATTATTATTAGTTTCTCTTCCTTTTATTGGATAGCTAGTAAGATTTCAGGTTATTACTTTTGTGCACATACTCAATATTTTTATCGTCATTGCTTTGTAGGTTCATGAGTGTATCTAGTCAGTTAATCATTTGATGAACAGTGGATCTATGACAGGGGTGGCTTTGTTGTTATAATATACACGAATGAGATACAAATTTGAGATTCAAAAGTAAAAGAAAAAAATAAAATCTTTCATTCAGTTAACTATGGAGCCTCTGTGGAAGCTGGTGTATTTGTTGGAACCAGCTCCAATCACTCTCATTCTAACAGCCATAGCTGTGACATTTGGATCTGCTTTTCGAGCTCTAAACTATGGGAAAGAAATGGAGCGAAACCGTGACTTATCAGAAGCATCCATTACTTTAGACAGGTCCCAGGCACTCATGATCCCGATAATGAGCTCTTGCAGCCTGCTTTTGATGTTCTACCTATTCTCATCTGTCTCACAACTCCTCACTGCTTTTACTGCAGTTGCTTCTGCTTCATCCCTCTACTTCTGCCTATCGCCTTACATCGCTCATGTCAAGTCACAATTTGGTTTGGCTGATCCGTTTATGTCTCGGTGTTGTTCAAAGTCATTGACACGAATCCAAGGGCTTTTATTGTTGTTGTGCTGCAGCATAGTTGCATCCTGGCTTGTTACCGGGCATTGGTTATTGAACAATTTGTTGGGCATATCTCTTTGCATTGCATTTGTGAGCCATGTGCGCCTTCCCAACATCAAAATATGTGCAATGCTGCTAGCTTGTCTGTTTGTCTATGATATATTTTGGGTCTTCTATTCTGAGAGATTTTTTGGGGCAAATGTTATGGTCTCAGTAGCAACACAGCAAGCATCTAATCCTGTCCACACTGTGGCTAATAGTTTGAGTCTTCCTGGATTGCAATTGATTACGAAGAAGCTGGAGTTGCCAGTTAAGATTGTCTTCCCTAGGAATTTGTTGGGTGGAGTGGTTCCTGGAAGTAATGCTGCCAACTTCATGATGCTTGGTTTGGGTGACATGGTAAACATCTTTTTTCATTTGCAAAGTTGATTTCTAATATAGTTCTCGTCACTTTAGAAGGTGGAGATGTAGTTGTTAAAAAACGCAGTGCTGTGGCATGATAATTGCTGCTTTTCACATACAGCATTTTATGAATGGATAGACAATTTTTGAGATATCTACTTGCTGCTCTTTTAGGCCCGCAAAGGATTTCTATGGTCTATATTAGCAAATTCTTCAGTTGCAGAATTCTTTAATTTAAAAAGTTTATTTACTTCAAGGATTCCACCTTTGAAGTCTCTCATTCTCGTGAGTGATTCAAAAGGTCACTTTTATCTGTTAAACACGTGGACATACCTACATAGGGGCCATGGCCCCACCTAAATTTTCCAAAACCCCCTGTATTATTGCTACTTTTATAGATGTTTTATTAATGAAGTTTGTCTCCGCAATGAAATTTTTTGAGTCTGCTGTGTATATGGATGCACTGGTAGGTGTGTTGATGTGTAGGTGTGAGGCTTTTTTTATTCATCTAGTGTTATTCTTATGTAGGATGGGATTCTTAAATTAGTATCAATGGAGTTTTAAGCTCAAGGAGGTCTGCATTGTAAATTGTTATGGTTATTGTTGATATGTGAACAGTTAACACTCACACACAAATGTCAACAATTTCAAGGAGAAACCAACACCCCCCAAACAACACCCCCCCCCCCCCCCCCCCCCCCCCCCCCCTTTCTCTCACACAGGCACACATAATTTCCCTGCCTTTCTTCAAAATTTCCCTGACCAAATTTTATCTGTTATACACATGGACGTACCTACATAAGGGGTGGCTGTAGCTTCTCTTATTTGACTTTCAGTGGTTGTGAAGATCATGATTGCACTTCTCAATCATCTGACTTCGTCAGAATATCAATTTCTAAGCTTTTGTGGTTGTTTTATTTTGTAGGCTATTCCTGCTATGCTTCTGGCATTAGTTCTATGTTTCGATCATAGGAAGAACAGGGATTTAGTGAGTCCCTTAGATTTACCTTCTTCCAAGGGCCACAAGTACATATGGTATGCGCTTTCTGGATATGCAATCGGATTGGTAACTGCTTTAGCAGCTGGCATTTTGACTCACTCACCTCAGCCAGCGCTTCTGTATCTGGTATGTTTGTTGATACAGTTTGCAATTTTGTTATTCCTAAAAAGAAGCATGAATTCATATGTATATATATATATATATTTTCCCTAAATTAATTAATTATATATGAACTCATATTTGTATGCTACGTGGACTTGTGGAGAGAGAAAGGAAAGGGTGGGATATCTAACTGTCGCTATCCAAAATCTATATATCTTTTACATATGTTCGGACTTTATTTTGGGAAAATATCTATTCATTTGAAATTGTTGCTCCTTACAGAGTTGAGAAACGTAGTAATCTTGGATGCGATCTGAAAATTAAAAGAGAGGAAAATTAATGCAGAAGTGTAGCAAGCTTTATAGTTATTACGTTTATTTTATATATCTAGTTACTTTTTTCAAAAATATGGTCAGTGAACAACTCAAGTCTAATGCACTCGTTGCTTGAGACCCAGCTCTCCTGGTTCGTTCAAATTAGCACTATCTCGCCACTTTTGCATTGATGTTCTCCCCCGATTGATGAATGCAGGTGCCATCTACTCTGGGACCCATAATTTTCATCTCGTGGATGAGAAAGGAACTACTAGAGCTGTGGGAAGGATCGACGCCAAATCTGAACGATAAAACCCATTTGACAGAAGTTTGAGCTGTTGATCCTCATCATCCTGGGCCGCTTCAGTTCTTTCAATGCCCATTGAAAAATGTAAAATCACTTGGGATAGTTATATCTTCCTTGACAAACTTTTAATGGGGAAATAGCAATTTGTTTAAAGTTGACATGGTTGCAATTTTTCTGGTGAAAGAAGTTGCCAAACCACTAATCACAATGAGGAATAACATTGAACTTTATCCATTTAATGTTTATTATAAGCAATACGTTGCAACAAGAAGTGATTCAGTTGAAACGCGACTAGAAATTGCCAACCTATGTTGACGGTGTTATTTGATAGCTTTTGAGATCATATTTGGTTCAGTTTGCAACTTCATTTGAAGTCCGACGAACAGTAGTTGGTAAGCATGGTGAAACTATGGGATTTAGGACTAAATTCTATGCATCTTTTCAGATCGTTTGACGTGATGACATATTTTCTGTATTTTTCTTTACGGTTGCTAAAATCTGAAAATTGTGTGCGAGTAAATTTGCCTGACCAAAAAAATTAAATAAATAAATTTGGTGCGAAGTGTAATAGAAGGTGGAATTCAGACTGAAGAGATAAAACATATTGATTACATGTTATGGAGAGGTCTATGCTTCAATTCACATTGATAATTGATTCAATGTAAAATTCAAATCTATATATATATATATATTTTAAAATCAGATTAATTAAACTACATTCCATGTATCTTAACTAATTATTTTCAACTAGAAAAAAAAAAAAAACAAACAATTATTTTCAATCATTTTTTATTAACTATAAATATATTAGTTGTGGCCTTTCTTCTAAATACCAAAAAAAAAATTGATCCATTTCCAGGAAATTATTTAAAAAGATTTTCTAATTTTAAAGCCAAGTATATTAGAAAATAAAACAGATTAAAAAATGGCCCCCTTTCAAAATTTCCATAAAATAGAACGGATTAATAATATACGGCTTCTTTCGACGACACCGTATTCGTATGTCCCGTTTCCGAAACCCTCTGTATTGCCGTAAACCCTCTTCCCGGCTTCGACAAATTGATACAAACGCAGAAATTCTAGAGAGAGAGAGTGAGTGAAGAGAGAGAGAGAGAGAGTGATTAGAGAAATGGGAACATCAGTTCAGGTGAAGCCACTCTGTGGAGTATACAACGAGAACCCACTATCGTACCTGGTCTCAATCGATGGCTTCAGCTTCCTCGTCGATTGTGGATGGAACGACCACTTCGACCCCTCTCTTCTCGAACCCCTCTCCAGGTCTATCTCTCTCTCGCTCTGTGTGTGTATGTGTGTGTTTTCCTCTTGCATTTTTTGTTGGAACTGATCAATAATTTAAACAAGGTCATACAATGTCTGAGGCAAATAATATATTTTGGTGCCCAGTTGCATATTTCTTCACTATCCGAGTCTGGAAAAGAAGATTAATTTACAAATTACGAGTCTATATGGCTCCTTTGCTTTTGGCTTATGCAAAATGAAGAATTTCAACAAACCCAGATTGTGCTAACATGGAAAAGTTGAGTTGAGCTGTAGGCTTCTCAACTCCCAATTGGTAAACAAAATTGAAGACTCTAATTCATTTTCCATTTTTTTGTTTACAATTTTTTCTCAGCAATTTAAAGGAAACATAATATGATTATATTATGCTCCAGCAGCTATTTTGAAGATTTGTTTTGGTAGAAATAAAGCAATATTGTTTAATTTTTTGCAGTATATTGTTTTGTTCAGTGTGTTTATGTGGCCATTGTGGGCGAAGACTATTAATTTCTTAATACCAAAAAGAGATTTAATTCTTAAATTTTCAAGAAAGCCACAATCATAGTCTGGTTTTGAACTGGAAAAGTGTGCCCATATTGATGAGTAATGTGGTGCCTCATGGCTATGCTTTAGGATGCGCGGAAACTTGATGCTAGCAAGTGGCTTCCCTCTTCTTTCTTTACCCCCCTCAAAAAAAAAAAAGCCTGCCTTCCTTCTCGCCCAAAACCCACAGACACAAACTCTCTTTTCCCCACAACTCATATGTACATATACTTGTGTATTAATGTATTACAATATGCTTAATTTGTGTGTACATATGTATATATCGGTACATGTATACATTTTCTTTTGCTGCCACCAAGAGGCATTCTTCCCTTTTCCCCTGCATTTTGTTTGTGAAGTGACTTTGTCATCCGGTTGTTGGAGGCTTGATTAGGCAAACAATTAATTTTTATGTTTACTCCATTGGCTACATGTACTATATATGCAAATGTAATGGATAATATTTTAAATGAAGGGGGAATAGTTTACATTGGAGATAATGAGAAAAATCAATTAAGATGGTTTGGTCTTCTGTAATGAAAACCAATAATCATATCAATAAATAACAGTTGGTTCATATTAATAGAAATACTACAGGGGAGATGTAGACCAAAACTAGGACAGGTTTAGATAGTAAGGAAAGATTGGTAGTGTGTGGTTTGACTGATCTAATGGTCCTGTATAAAGCAAAAAAATAATCAATAAATAAGAGTGATATGGTCCATATTAATAGTAACAATACAGGGGAGAGGTAGACCAAAACTAGAACAGGTTGAGATAATAAGGAAAGATTGTACCCAGGAAAAAAAAGAGAGGAAAGATTGGTAGTGTGTGGTTTGACTGAGCTAATGGTCTTGCACAAAGCAAACAAATGAAAGAGAAATCATGTAACTGGGTGTAAATAGTTGACAAAATGTTTTGTACTGGCTTTCTTGAGCTGAACTTGGTTATATGCACGTAGAAATGTACATGCCATTGTACTTTTAACATATTCAGTTTTACCTTGCTCCTAAATTACTCATTAGTATAAGGCCCCATTCTCCTAACTTAATGGAAGTGATTAAAAACAAGAGAGCAAATTATTTCAACATGTGGTCAAATAAAGGCCTTCAATTTTTTTTATTACTCTTTTGATTACAAATATTATACTATATCATCTCTAAGTTTCTTCTGCTTCCTAGGAAAAATTTGTTCCACAAAGAATATGAAGAAAGATAACCACGTCAATAAGACCACATACCCTTGTTATTTATTGGAAGTTTCTTTATCAAAAAAATTGAATTTCGTTTCAGGGTGGCTTCAAGTATCGATGCTGTCTTGCTATCACATCCGGATACAGTTCACCTTGGCGCTTTACCATATGCCATGAAACACCTCGGAGTCTCAGCTCCTGTTTATTCAACAGAGCCCGTGTACAGATTAGGCCTATTGACTATGTATGATCACTATCTCTCACGGAAGGTGAAGTGTTATCCTGGGATTTTTTGAACTATAAATGAAGAAATTTGATCTGTTTATTGGTTTTTTGAAGCTATTATTATTATTAGTTGCAGAACTCTATGCAGTGGAAGCACTGACTTTTGAAAATTGCTTATGCTGTCATCACTAGAAGTGCAACAATCACTGAAACCAATGCCTTATGTTGTCACCCATAGTTGTAGAAGTTGAAGATGATCTTGATCTAAGTTCTATTTGTAATCTCTCTCTCTCTGCTGTTTGAGTCTTTAAGTATAGGAGAGCCTCAAAAGAAATTCTTGGTGTCATCTTAATATGTTAACCAACTATGTCTAATCCATTATTCTTTTGATGACTACCAAAAAGAAATGGCTCTAACCTTGTTTTATGTTTTGTTAAAATAAGACGTCACACATTCACATTCATACGGAGATCATTGGATCTGGGTATTATGAATATGTAAAATAATATTGAGGCACAAGTATTGGTTCAATTGGTGGATTTGGTAAATTACACAAATATATATAGGGGACATTCCAATATATATAAATAATATGGTTGAACAAAATATGACATTCACATAACTATAATTATACAATATTGCATTTTGTAAGCCACATCAGGACCCAAAAGACCTAGGGTTGATTTACTTTTTCATTTTACACAGTTTGCAAACAGCTTCCTTAGGAACTCAACTCAGGAAGGTTGTACTACCAACTTTTGCAGTTGGTTACATGAATGCTCTTCTATCATTTTGTCTTACCAATTCTATTAAAAATAATTTATACTAAAACCTGGTTAAATCAATTGATGAGAGTAATATCAAAAAGGTTATTTATAATAGGGTTTCTCCCCCCTACTTGAGTCTCACAATTTTGCATGTGTTTGATATTGGTTTACATTTCATAATAGTAATTACAGATCAGTCCACTTTTTAACTCTCAACTCTAGTCATCTGGCAGTTGATTAACTTCTATTAACTGAAAGATGCCTTTGCTAGAAAAGAAGACAAAAGTGCATTCTTAAATAAATTTGGGCTTTACTATCTTCTAAGAAGCATGGACATAGATACCGGATACAGACATAATACGACAGGGGCAAGTTGGTTCAACAAATAGACATGGACACGATGAGGACGCGCCAAAAAATTATTATTATTTTTTTTTATGTTAAAATTATAGTATATACAGCAAACATTTTCTCCTGCCATCATTTTGTTATCCTGTATCCTGATCAGGTTGTTTGGAACTTACATTACTTTCTATTGCAGATTGTTCTATGTCGATTATTTGTTTCAAGCATTTGTTTTGTGTGGAAGTGAGTTATGTTGACATTCCAAACTGCATCTCTTCCTTTTCAGCAAGTATCAGAATTTGATTTGTTCACACTGGATGATATTGATTCTGCATTCCAAAGCGTGACTAGACTAACCTACTCTCAGAATCATCATCTATCTGGTAGGCTAATCCCACAGAGATCTTGTTTAGCTTAATACTTATCAAACACAACATGTCAGCCTCCTTTTGGGGCCTTTCCCTTCCCCCTTCCTCCCCTTCCTTTTTTTTTTTTTTTTTTCTTTCCTGGGGAGGTGGGGGGTTGTGGGGGACGGGGGAGTGAAAATAAGATTGCATAGTGGCATTAAGGTTGCTGATTGATTATAAACAGAAAGGTCAGATGAATTGTGTAAGGCAATACACTTTTGGCTCGATCTATAGTACACCTGGGCTTGGATCACTACTCTTACTCCATGAAGGGTCAAGAAGATCAAATTTGTAGATCATATGTACGATCTCTGTAAGAGGGATGGATCCAACTTGGGTTACATGTATCAATAATCTTACCATAGACCTTTTCCTTTTTTATCTTTTGTTCTTTGCCTTGGATTTTCTAACCTTGTAACTCGTGGTAGGCAAAGGAGAAGGAATTGTTATTACTCCTCATGTCGGTGGACATCTATTGGGAGGTACTATTTGGAAAATCACAAAAGACGGGGAGGACGTTATATATGCTGTTGACTTCAATCATCGCAAAGAGAGGTTTCCTACCAATTCCACTCAAATTGAAACTACTTGTTTGTGAATTTTTGACATCTATGTCTGGAAACAAGCCATTAGCATAGTAATCGGTTTGTTTTTCTTCAGGCATTTGAATGGAACTGTTTTAGAATCATTTGTCAGGCCCGCTGTTCTGATAACAGATGCCCATAATGCTTTAAATAATCAGCCTTCTAGACGTCAAAGGGACCAAGAATTTCTAGGTAATTCCTGTTTAATCTATGTTTTTTATTATTTATTTATTTATTTTTATTTTTATTTTTTCCCTTCAACACAACCCCCCCCCCCCCCCCCCCCCCCCCCCCCCCCCCCACCTCCTCCTCCTCTTCTCTCCGTATGTTTCCTCCCTCTCATTGTATTAATTATGGGTCATTGCTTGGTACAATGGTAAAAAGTTTGTGCAAGGTGATATCAAAGGTTTGGTCTGTTTCTAGTTCATCCTTCCTAGCACCCTGTACAGGCAGGCATATGTCAGGCACCTGTTCGATACATTTGATGATTTTGTGAATGCTGATTTTCCTTTTCTACTGCTCCTTCTACCATCTTTTGGTGTGTATTTTAGATGCAATTCTGAAGACTCTAAGAGCAGATGGAAATGTATTAATACCTGTTGATACTGCTGGTCGAATATTGGAGCTAATTTTAATACTGGAACAGGTCAGTTTGTGTAAATGTTCTACACATGCTTCCCCCGCGCCCCCCCCCCAAAAAAAAAAAATTATTATTTTTTTTTTTCATTGCCCAATAAGCCTAATGATTAATCTTGTTAAAAAATGCAGTTTTGGGCACAACATCATTTGACATATCCTATCTACTTTCTTACATATGTTTCATCAAGCACGATTGAGTATGTCAAGAGTTTCCTTGAGTGGATGAGTGATTCAATAGCAAAGTCTTTTGAACACACACGAGACAATGCTTTTCTTCTGAAGTAAGAGGCATTCTTCAATTTACTTTGTCTTTCTCTTCTCCCTTGGTTTTGTCACTACTCTTATCTTTTATTATATTATTCAATAATCTGAGCTACACATTATTTATCATGTAAGCTTTTTACCTTTTACAAAGTTCATTATAAGTGGACAGTCTCTTACAATGCATTTATGGCCTAACTTGCAGGTATGTCACTCTTTTAATAAACATGAGTGACCTTGAGAAAGTTCCAGATGGTCCAAAGGTTAATACCAATTTACTTTTAAGATACACCATCTTGATAACTCAGTTTACTATTTCTGATGCCATTGACTAATACATCTTATTTAGATTATTCTAGCATCCATGGCCAGTCTAGAATTGGGTTTCTCACATGATATATTTGTTGAATGGGCTGCTGATGGCAAGAATCTCGTGCTTTTTACGGAAAGAGGCCAGGTATATGATCCAGGTTGTCTATCAATAAATCGATCATAAGTATTTCAAACTATACTCGTTTTTGCTGAAGTTGAAAAATGGTTGTGTCATCCTCGAGTTGAATGTCGTTTTAACTTGTGATTCCTTTAATGTACTTTAGCAGTTTGAAAGTTTGATAAATCACTAGCCTCTTCTATTTATTTCTCGAATGATGAAAAAGAAAAGCATAAAGCTTTTATCTGTTATGGTTATACTGTATACTCTTTGTCTATCTATGGAAAAGTTCCTTTCCATTTTCTGCCATCCAATATATACTGTTCATATGGTGTTTATCCGAGTTGAGGAACTAGTTCTTGTTGCATCTATTGAAAGAAAAAGTTAGTGGCATTCAAATGTTTCGAGTCTCATTAAGGGAAACCAAATGTTGTTTCACATCTTTCTAATTTTACTATCAAAGCTTAATCATGCCTGCAACTCTCCAGAAAGCTTTGTTTATCAGAAGCCTTATTTTCAAAAAACAAATTGAGTGGAATTGGCCATAAGTTCAAGGTGCATTCAGCTCTTAGATCCCTTTGATCTTGTTTAGTTGACCTATTACTATGCTCATTTGTTTAGAAACATTCTTTTATTAAGGATGTTGGAGTCAATTCATCTATGAAATCAGATGCATAATGCACTTAGCTTTGAACACGGTAACTATTTTATTCCCCGTACTATATAATATTTGGATAACATTACCATGATTATCTTGATGAAATTATCCACGATGTTATTTATCGAAAAAAATAAAATAAAAAATTCCATGATGTCGTAAATTTTACTAATTCTAATATTCTATATATGTATAGATATCAAGATCAGCCCAGGAATAGCTTTCAGAACTTATCAAAAAAAAAAAAAAAATAGCTTTCAGATAAGTTATTTATCAAAATCTATACATATGTAAAAAAGCAAAACCCATTGGAAGTTAGGACCGGAACCCAAGGCTAATAGAGAGTTGTGCGAGGCCCCTGATCTAGACCTAGAGGGGGCGAATAGGTCTTGTTGATTGGATTACCGAATTTTAATCGCCTTATGAATTTTAACTAATTTAACTGAAGTTTAAATTCAATTTATAACAAAAATTAAAAATCACTCAATTATCCAAGCGTGCAATCAACAGATAAAGTAATAAAAATAAACAGTTAAAGTAATAAATCTAGGAACACATAGATTTTTACATGGAAAACCCTAATGGCGAAAAACCACGAGACCTAGTTCAGCAAACCGAATCCACTATGATAAAGAAGGTTTACAACCCAGGTTACAGTTCTTAAAACCCTAGAAACCATAGTTACCTCCTTGGCATAGATCAATCCACTAAACTCCTGGAGTCTCCAGGTACACGATCTGTTAGTTAACAGATTACGCTCCTCACGAATCTGCTTCCTCTCCAGTGATTCAGTCTCACCTGCTAGTTGTCCAGTTCATCTCTGAGCGATGGATTGAATTACAGTGTGAACTCTTCAATAGTAGTCCAAACATGGTATATATATAGGCAAAATAGAAGTATAGAGAAAATAGGGTTGGTGGTGCTTTAAACCAAAATGTTACTTATCAAAAAAAAATCCAAAATGGAAACTATATTTTTGGAAAGCTTGATTGATTGACGAGTTAGTCGATCAAATACTTCCAAAACAACAAGAAGATCAAAACACGAAAGCTTAGAAACGCTAATCATGTATGCATGAACCCTAATTTAGTGAGTGCATCAATTTACCTTTTTACTCTTATAGAAGAAGATTACCCATATACACTTGAATGTTACTTCAAATTCCTTCTTCAACCAAGCATAGGAGGTAATGACTGACGCTAACTAACTTTTGAAGTATCTAACCTAAACTAGAGATTAAAACAAAAGTAACAGACTCCAGTTTTGTTTAATGAATTTGCCAACCTAAGTCTTACTGACCTAACACCCCCCAAATGCCTGTCCTGATGATGTGATGACATTAAAACTCCTCCAATTTTTAACCTGTTTACAAAGCCCCTCCTATAATCACCCACTAGGGCCACTACATGAAGCCACAAACTTAAGCATACACAACTACTCTTACCTGAATAGCTATAGGGAGAAAATATTAGCGGCCCACTAACTAATGTATATAAATAATGTGACCAATCCACAGAAGATTGAAATACGTATAATAGATACATGAAATCTATTTTCACACTCTTCAAGAAACCATTTAATTATATATAGTAGTTTCTATCAATATCTCTCTTTAAGTTGTATGCTTTGTCTCGTGAAAGATTATGAATGTGAAGATCTTTAAGGAATCTGGACTTCTGCCTCTCAATAGGGTTTTTTCCTTTTTCTTTTTTGTCATTTATTCTATTTGGTTGGGGAAGAAAGTTAAAATCCTATTGAAAGATGTCAAATTTATTTCCTTGCCGTTTGCATTTAATATATGCTGAAGACTACACTGCTTCGAGACCCTATGTGCTAACTGCTTAGTGCATCGAGCCCTTGTAGATTATATATGTATATGCATATCTGAGCTTTATTTTTCTCTCTTTATGATGACTCATCACTTCTATTCATTCCTTTTATTATCTGTTCTTACCATATGCAAGTAACAGTTATTTCAATTAGCATGATTTGATGCAAACATATTACGAAGGGTGTCATCTTTATTATATGGTCTGAAACATGTATGCACTGACTTCGTGCAATGTATATGTAGTTTGGCACATTGGCCCGCATGCTTCAGGCAGATCCACCTCCTAAAGCTGTTAAAGTCACTATGTCAAAGAGAGTTCCTTTGGTTGGAGAGGAGTTAGCCACTTACGAAGAAGAGCAAAACCGAATAAAAAAGGAGGAAGCTCTAAAAGCTAGTCTAATCAAAGAGGAGGATTCAAAAGCATCTCATGCCTCTCATCCTACTGTGGGTGATCCAATGGTCATTGATAGCACTACCCATGCTTTACCAGATGGTAACTTCCTTTAATTTTTTGATATGCAAATGGAATTACCAGCTGCAATTTTCTTTTCTGGAAATAGCCATCAATACTTGACTGCTAATAGAGACCTTCAGCTTCATTTTTATATTGAATCTAATTGTGTGCATTTAATTTATTAAAATTAGTTGTTGGAGGGTCTCTTTCAACAACCACAACACCCCCACCCCCCCCCCCACCAAAAAAAAAAAAAAAAAGCTGTTTTATTCATATGAAGTTAAATAACTTATCTTCCTTTTGATTGGATCAAAAAATCGACGACATTCCGTATATGTATGTGTGCGCGTGAATATTAAACTTTTAATTTGTTGCTTCACTTGAGTTCACTTTACCTAACATTGATTATTTTTTATTTATTATTATTGTTGTTGTTGTTGTTGTTGTTTAGAATCTATTTTATGAAGTCATGCATGGCAACAGAGCATTTTATTATTCCTGTACACTTACTCTTCTTGTTTTTTCTTGGCCCAAAGGAAAGCATAGCGTGGACCTTTTCTTTGTAGTCATTTACCACAACAATATATGTGTGTGTGTGTGTGTGTATTAAACTTTTAATTTGTTGCTTCACTTGAGTTTAATTTTCATACTCACAGACCATTTTCAATGATGTTAGCCCTGGATGATGAGGAGGTTGTAGACATAGGCCAAAGATTTTTAGTGACCTTTGGAGACTATTTTGGGGAACTGAATTATCTCTACTTCTTTTTCTTTTCTTTTTTTGGGTTTTTTTTTGGGGGGTGGGGGGGGGAGAGATTATTGGTTTGTGTGGGAAAGTTATTACTATCAAAGATTTGCATTTGGTTAGACTCATTGTATGGAGGATTGTTAGTCCTTTTTCTATTATATATATATGGACGTTCCCAAAATAGGTACTATCGGGTCGGGTGAATTCAATAATAGACGCCTGTTGGCATTCCAGCCTTCTTTCTCCTTTCAGGGCCTATCCGAAAGAGAATCCAATACTTCTTGGTCGTGAATATCTGAACTGGTTGTTCACTGTTCAAGAATTCTTGTTTAGGCAGTTCATACCATCTATATAAAAAAAAATCATATGGCTTTATTTTGTAGTGATACAAACCTATATAAAGTACTACAGTAATGCATACTCGTCCAACGCATATCTATATATGGTTATATCTTGACACGACAAATTCCTACATAATAGACACTCTAGTAGTAACAGATAAGTTACCTTTCTCCTTGCTGCTGGTCTTTAAGATTCTGTATTCTCTTTTAAGTTCGTTTGAGTTGGAGATCAGTGCTGAGTAAGCTTGAAGCTGAGTGCATCTTGTACGGTTGCCAAGAAGAATTCTCATCTCACTTAACTTTATATTTTTTTATACAGCTGTTATTATATGCTTTTAGCTCTGCGCATGGTCAAATTGACGTCTGATTGTCATGCAGTGGCTGGCCCTCGTCGTGGTGGTTTCTGGGACATATTTATTGATGGATTTGTTCCATCTTCTTCTAGTGTTGCCCCAATGTTTCCATTTTATGAAAATTCCTCTGAGTGGGATGATTTTGGTGAAGTCATTAATCCGGATGATTACACAATCAAGGAAGAAGATGTGGACCAAGCAGCCATGCAGGTAAGTTTCCATAATCGCGTGATGTTTTATTTAGCTTGCTTGATGGAATCGGTTGTCTATGCTCTTCGATTTGGCTGTTTTGCTTTAGTGAGCGGCTCTATAGTGACAAATTCGGTGACTTAAGAGCTATTTGATATTAAAATAATACATAATTCTGGACATGGACTCGGATATGTGTGTCAGGTGCCCCCATGTGTCCAAAGGTTAGACATGTCAAATCCCCAAAGAGGACATGGGCTCGGATAAATCTTTACATTATTTAATATTTTCTTTTATTTTCTAGAGTAAAATAATGTAGTGTTCAATATAGAAATTTCACTCATTTTGAAGTAATAATATAGTAAAATTGAAGTATTGGATATGCTTTTTAGGTGCATGCCTAACCAAAAGAGATGGACCATTGGGCACATATTCCACAATCATGTCTGAGAATTTTCTTCACCTGCTTTTGAAGAGTATATTTAATATAATCTGCAGTTATTAGTAAAATATCATCAATTTTAAAAAATGTAAGATCAACTTTTGGAGTAAGAAAACCTGCATATATTAAAAACAGGTTTAACTGCATATTATTCATAATATTCTAAATATTCAGAAATTGTTCAATAATTATTGAGATGTTTGGGCCTTTAGAGTACATCTGGGATTTGTTTTCTGATGAATCATAAGGATTAATTTGAGGTTTTTTCTTTAAAAAAAAAAAAAATAAAAAAAAATTGATGAATTTAGTTGCTATGGCCTGCGCCCTGGTTCAGGGAATAGCGAATCAATTAAGATTTATTATTTGTTCAAACCCCTCCTCCTTAGTACACTGACCTCCGACTGTCTGAGTTAAGATGATTGCCTGTTGTATCCAAGACTAATGGCCTTTACTTTCACTGTGCAGATATTAAATAGAACTAATGAAAAATAGAACTAATGTTGACCCGTGTAGGCTGTGTTACATGAACTCACCAATTCCTTCAATGTACCTATGTCTACATGACACAGTAGGATCATGGGTATCGAATGTGTGTCCCACACACGTATCTAAATTAGACATCCAAATCATCTACAAGTGATGATGAAAGAAGAGAAGTTTAAATTTGATAGCAAATAATGGTTTTCTACTGCTGAATGTGGCGGAATCCCCCTTTTCACCATATTCGATTTAATTTAAATTATAATTGGGTATATTTTCAAGGAATAACAACGTCATACTTTACTCTATTTTATAGCGTATTGTATATTTAAATGTGTAAGACGTGTCCACATACCATATCCAAGTGCTGGACACATTTCAAGTCAGGTCCATGTATCCTAAGATTTGGGATGCATGGAGGTCCAAGACTTAAAGATACATACCAGCAGCTAATACATGTACTCATGTTTCTGTAACATAAATGTAGAGTAATATTTTAAGATTACAGCATAATATCGGAGGAGTAGTGTAAATTAGGACCAATGTTAGGCGCGCCTTTCATGCCTTACTTTTTTTCCCTCTATCTAACTTTATGATTGAATTGGTATGGTTAGACACATGTACATGTCAGAAAGGTTTTCCATCGTACATCTAATAAAAGCTAAATCAATTAAGAAAAAAAGAAAGAATACGATTGATCACAGAAGCTGCCAGAGACAAGGGACAAAGTTACGACTGAAACAGGTTTTCTCTTCTTCTTCTTCTCTCTCTCTGTCCCTCCCTTCGTTTTCTTCTCTCTCTCTTCGTCTTCTTTTTTTCTTCTTTGTTTTCGTCTCTCTCTCTCTCTCCTTCTTCTTCTTCTTCTTCTTCTGTCCGTCAGGCTCTCTTTATTTCCTGTCTCTACCTTTTCCTTTCTTTTTTTGTGCTCTATTTTGTAGATATGCTGTCCGGGTGTCTCTCCCTTTCTTTCCTTCTTTTTTGGTGCTCTGATTTCAATTCATCCCTCTCTCTCTCTCTTTCTTTTCATTTTTTCTGGGTGTCTAATTTCAATAAGGTCCCCCCCTTTCCCCCCCCGCCCCCTTCTTTTTTTTGGGTCCTATAATTTATTTTTGTAGTTCTTGAATGATATGATTGATGGATTTATTTTTTCATGTTTAATATGATTTTTAAAATAGTGATTATGAGATATGAATTCATTTATAATAATTTTCAATTGTGCGCCTCTAGGCTCCAAAGGACCTTTAGCGCCTTAGTGAATTCTTTGGAGCCTAGGCACAAGGCACATGCCTGAGTGAAGTGAGATGCACAATTGAAAATTTTAAATTATTATAAAAGAATTCATATCTCATAATCAATATTTTAAAAACTAATACTAAACATGAAAAAATAAATCCATCAATCATATCATTCATGAACCATAAAAATAAATCAGAGCACCCAAAAAAAAAAAAAAAAAAAAAAAAAAGGGAAAAAGAAGAGGGAAAGAAAGGGGGAGACACCCGGACATCACATCTACAAAATAGAGCCAAAAGAAAGGGCAGCGACAGGAAATAAAAATAGCCTGACGGACAGGAGAAGAAGAGAGATAGAAGACAAAGGGAGAGGGAGAGAGAACAAGAGAAGAAAACCTGTTTCAGTCATTATGTCGTCCCTCGTCTCTGGCAGCTTTGCTGTCGATTGTCTGGGTCTTAGAGCTTTTTGCAAAAAAAAAAACAAAAAAAAAGTTCCTTTGTACAGAAATGACAATTCACACTTTTCAGTCTTTTTTTCTTAAATTTGGTATTGCTTATATTCGATGTATGATGGAACACCTTTCTATCGTGTACAGCATGTTTCTAACCATACAAATTAAAAAATAAAGTTAGATTGGGAAGGGGAGGGGGGGGGGGGGGGGGGGGGGGGGGGGGGGTTGTTGGTGAAGTCAGGCGTGAAAGGCGCGCGCCTGACGCTTACATAGTATGTGGACTGCTTGCATTGAAATGACAGAATGAGAAGTTGAAGAGATATGGATAAAGGTTTAATTAAGCATGGATAAGGTTTTCTAGTATAGTTTAATCTTTATTTTCTGTCAACCATGATAAAAATGTTACATCAATATGCATAGTTTTCTTTTTATAGTACATTGATATGCATAGTTTTCTTCTTTATTATATGTATGCCTTGAATAAAATCTTCATCTGGCTGGCATCTTCTTCGTACTGTAATATAGTTATAATGGACAGACTGAAATTTACTTCTTCTTAATATGAATGTATACACATTGGCTTTACGGATGGTTAACATGCGTATCTCGCTGCTCATTTCCTGTCTAGGTTGGTGGGGATATGAACGGAAAACTTGATGAAGGCTCTGCTAATTTGATGCTTGATACAACACCTTCAAAAGTTGTCTCTAATGAATTGACTGTAAGTAAGAACTCTGGCTTTTAATTGCTTGAAGGATAATTCACCTTAAGTATAGGGTAAAACTCAAGTGATGCAAAAAGTGACTATAGAATTTACAAGTGATATTGTTGAATCTATGTTTGATGGGGTAAATAAACTTCCATATTGTTTTATGTCATTCTAATTGCAATAGCATTGCAGATCCTGCAGAGGAATTGTATATGTGATGATGCTTTTTAAGTATACATCTAATTGCTGTATTTTGACAACTCAGATATGACCAGAATTATTTTTCCTAGAAATGTTTTTTTGCTACAAGCTAGGATTTTGTTTTTTTTTATCAAAGCATTTTAATGTTAAACCCACCTTGACCTTTTCTACATAATAGTATTTTCTATTTTGATGGTAAATTATATAAATTTTGGTTTCCAGGATTCTGTTTAAGTTTTTAAGCACTATGTAATTTGTATAAAAACAAAAACTATATATCTTACCTCTGCTTCCCTTGCCTTGGCCGCAAAACATACATTGGTGGTCCAGTTTACCTCTGATGCAGCCTAATCTCAAAATGTCAATCAAAGTGGTCAGCAGTACCAGTCCTTTTAACTTAGCCATTGTTTTCAAATAGTTCACGTGCTGCACAGATTTATGGTCCCCCTTACATTTCCTGGGATTTCTCAGTCGCTATAAATTTTTGGTGTTACCTTTTATATAACAATTTAAAGTTACAGTGTTTGTTAAAACCCAAAAAAATGAAGGTGCAGTGTTATCCATTCTTCTATCATCTCAAATAATGTTTTACATTTGACTGCATAGCTCTGTGTATTTCAGGTGCAAGTTAAATGTTCGTTGGTTTACATGGATTTTGAGGGCCGTTCTGATGGCCGCTCAATTAAGTCAATACTTGCTCATGTGGCACCCTTAAAGCTTGTATGGATCTTTCTTTCCTTCAGTCAAATTATAAATTAAGTTACCAATTAAAATTTGATATCTGTTTGTCGAGATATGGACATATTTTTGCTGAAAAAGTAGCATTTTGCCTGTTATACATCGCGAGACACCCCCTTAGGTGTTTTATCCATTATAATTGTCATCACATACCTAAACATTGCGCATGCTACGTAGCATGTTATGTTGGTATATGAAACATTAGAAAACTTTCCCCTTAACTGAGAAGTTCCCATTGAGATAAGCACAACTTAATAGTAAAAATGACCAAGTTGTACAACGGTAGGAGAAATCTGATTTTTTGTTAACTGCAGTCTGACTTTGGCATGCGGTGAAGTTCACTTGGGCCTGAGTCTTTCTACCACTTGTATATATTAACTATATCAAGTGATAAGAATTTTTACTGTTTCATTCTCAAATTATGCAAAACTCTTTTAGCGGTTAAGGCCTGATTTCTTAGGAATCAATCTCATCATCATCATCATCATCCTTGCCATAATTCCATATGAATGGGGTCAGCCACATGAATTCTATCTCCCCTACTGTATTTAACTTTTTAAAGCCATTTTTAATATCTTCATCCCATATTATTTTTGGTCGCCCTCTCCTTCTATTACAATTAATCTTCCTTGTTTGACTGGCTTGTCTCTAGGTCTTCAATGTATGTGTACCATCTAAGTCTACTCTCTAATTTTCTCACCAATGGGTACACCTATTTTTTCTCACACTTTCATTGGTGACCCTATCTCTTCTAGTCAGCCCACTCATCCATCTCAACATTCTCATTTCTGCAACATGAAGGCGTTGTTCTTGTTTCTTCCTTAGGCCCACCACTCCGCTCCATGCAACATAGTTGGTCTAATAACAGTCCTATGTTTAGCCTAAATGTTATTCTTTTATCACATAGTATCCCACACGTGGTACGAACTTTGGCTTTTGTATTCAAACTCATGTTACGGCAATTTCTCTTTTGGAGGTCTTGGTGCACGGATCGGCAGAGGCCACTGAGCATTTGAAGCAACACTGCTTGAAACATGTTTGCCCCCATGTATATGCTCCCCAAATTGAAGAAACGATTGATGTAACCTCAGACATGTGTGCTTACAAGGTTTAACTCGATACTAACTTGACATCTTGTTGCAATGACATTTAATATCAGGATTCATTTTTTCCTCGCATGAAATGTAGGTGCAACTTTCTGAGAAGCTAATGAGTAATGTGCTCTTTAAAAAGGTATGCGACACATTTCTATGTTCAATTTGATGGATCTCTGTTATACTAGTTTAACTTTTTTGTGCGTATTGTTTTTAATATAATCTCTTTTGATATATAATACTTCTTAGGGTAATTTGTTGATGAAATTCAAACATTTTACAAAGGGCAATAGATATTTGAAAGATATATATATTGAAGTAGTGAAAAAAAAAGTAGCGATTTCTGGTATCCTAGCAGATTGGGGTGGTGTAGCAGATAGGATTTGTAGAATGGCATTGGCAGGTCCCACTGAGGTTGCAGTCTGTTCACCAAATGTCTTCTTTGCACTTTTCTTGTCAATTGAATTGTTGTGCAGCCTATTGAACATCTCTCTTGCAATAGAGCTACTTGAACTAGTGGGTCAAGGCTTCAATATTTACCACTTCTGCTAGCCCTGTTGGCTAAAGCATGATTCACAAAGCAAACTGGTGGATAGGTTGTTTTCCCATAAAATAGGAGTGTAGTTTCACGATTAACAAAATATTTTAGATTCTGGTTCAGAACATCAAATGCTTGTACAAATAACAGTCACCAGTTTCGTCTTTCTCTCTCTCTCATATGATCATAATTACAGCTTGGAGATTACGAATTAGCTTGGGTTGATGCTGAAGTAGGGAAGACAGAAAGTGGCATGCTGTCTTTGCTTCCTCTCACAACTCCAGCTCCACATCATAAATCAGTTTTAGTTGGTGATATAAAAATGGCAGATTTCAAGCAGTTTCTTGCAAGCAAGGGCATCCAGGTACTCCTTTGTCACTCTTGCAATAAATACTTCTCTAACAGATATGGCTTAAATCTTATGTTCATTTCATCTGTCTTCCTTAATGGATTGTTAAGTTCTTCAGTCATTAAGTCATCTCTTGCTTAGAAGTGCAGTAAAATACCAACAAACAAGCAGTTTTCACATGTTGATCCCAGACCCAATATAGTTGATGAAAAGTCACAGGGCTTGATACAGAAATCTTAATGGTTGAATTTTTTTCAGGTGGAATTTGCTGGTGGGGCCTTACGATGTGGGGAGTTTGTGACACTACGGAAGGTTGGGGATGCAAGCCAGAAAGTGAGCAACTTCTCTTGACATTTCTTTTTACTTTGTGCGAGAAAATTTCTACGATTAATTATTTTATTAGTCATGAACTACAATGGCCTGAGGACTGACTCTAAGCTTTTAACCTTCCAATTTTTGGTGTAGGGTGGCGGTTCTGGCGTTCAGCAAATTGTCATTGAAGGCCCCTTATCTGAGGAGTATTATAAAATCCGGGAGTATCTCTACTCGCAGTTTTACTCACTTTAAGCTAAGATTTAAAAAGCTGTAACTTTTTTGTAAGATTTAGATTATAATGGTTTCTACCATGTTTAGTATCTTTCATTAACTCATCTTTGTTAAATGTAATTTTATTAGATTTGCACGAGTGTTTGTTGGTTTGCTTGGCTGTGTTTACTCATTTTACCATATGGTGGTTTGAAATCCTCCTCTACCTATGTGACTACAATCAGAGGAAACTTGCTATTGCTATTTATTTATTTTATTTTTTTAAAAAAGTGTACTTTTCATCAAACATCTTTGGTTGTTCCTATTCAAACCCATACTTCCATGGAGATTAGGTTTAAACTATAGACACAAAGTAGTGTTTGTGTTCTTTAGATTACATGAACGCGAGTGTTGCCTGGTCCTCGTAATCTACATTAAATCCCATGTTAAAAGTATGTCAAGATAACAATAGATGTAAGAGGCAAAAATGCACACTATTCCTGGTAAAACAGTGGACATTAAATTCCGAAGCACTCCAGTTTAAAGGGAAAACATCGTATGTTCAACCCGTGCAAGGAAGCAATGATATAAAGGAAAATTATAGAAAAGTCGATCTGTTTTTGTCATGGAGGTAAAGAGTCTTTGTTAGACAACATCTATTCGAGTTTACAAAAAAATTGATAAGCCATTATAGCATCGTTTTAATGTAAAATCCGAGAATAGTACCATCAATGTTCCACATTGATTCATGTAACAAAGGGTAAATTATATCATCTTTGTAATAGGTTGTTTTCTAATTAATGGTCAACAAAGTCGAAAGAGATTAGCCCAATATTAGATCGAAGCACGAAAGGGTTGATTGAAGTGTGAGTAAATTTCTAACAAAAATGAGTTACTTTTGAATCGTAGAAGATTGCTGCATACTATGCAATATTGTTAAGGCTTTATTCGTTTGAATAAACATGAGAGAGAAAAAAAAATAATAATAATATTAATTATGAGAGAGGAGAAAAGAAAAATTAATAATAACTTATAAATTTATGCTTAGATAAATATGAAGAAAATGAAATAATAGAATAACATTCTTATTTGAAAAAGGTAAAGAAAAGAAAAAATATATATATTTTAAACAATTTATTAAGGATGGGAATCAAATACCTTTTAAATTTTCTTTAAGATGATAAAGTTATTTTTCATATTATGAAAATGTGACTCAAATTACTACAGTTCTCTTCAAATCTTCCTACACGTTTGGAAGAATAGCAATACTATCCCTCTAAGTCTGTTTTTAATCCTTTCTTTTCTCTAAACTAAATATAAAAATCATCATTCCTCCTTTTTTATTATTATTTTTTTCATTCAATTTCATTAATCCAAACGATGCCTAATAGATGAATGACCGAAAAGCAATTCCTTGCAAAGATTACATTATAGTAGTATCCAAACAAGCCCTTATTTAAGATGAACGCGGAACACACGGACGCTTGAACCGTTTGGGCCGGACACGTGGACAGGTCAAGAGGTGAAGATCTAGAAGTCATTAAAGACGATATATTAGGTATAACCGGTAATTAAAATTAGAGGAGTGTACTGAAATCTGAATTTGACACTCCGACAATCGGAGAACTTTTTAAGATGTAAAAAGAAAGTTGTAAAGAGAGAGACAGAAAGATAGTGTCGATTGACGGCTAGAGAGAGAAACAAAGAAAGGATATTGACAATTAGAGAGAGAAACAAAACAAAACTACTCTTTCGTTCGTCTTCTACTCTTCTCCTCAATACAATACAAAACAAACAACCCTAGAAATTAACTTCGAATCCATGCTCTGAAATTCTACAGAGAGAGAGAGTATGTGCATTGCTGCTTCGTCTTCTCTTGGTCAAAGAAAACCCTAGAATTCACTACACTCATCAATTTCTCTCTCTACGCATTGACGTCGACAACTTCTCGTCTCTGTTGAAGCAGCGGTTTTGTATATTCGCCAGATGACTTCTTTGACGACGACATGGTCTCCGAACTCTTTTCAGCTCCGATTAGCTTGCAATTGCAGAAAATCTCCCACGGTTTTTGTACGAATGCGTGTACGGAAGCTAGGTCGTCAGATTCGTGTGTTCTCTGTTGCTGGAGATAGTGCGAGAAAGAGTAATGGACTAGAACGGCGTCGTACTGGAAATTCGTGGATGAATTATAATTCTTCGGTTGATGCTTTCTCTGGATGGTCCGCCACCAGTGGTGGTGATCAATCTGTTGAATCACAGCCGAAACGATGGTTTGGAGGTAAGAGATGGTTTTTTTTATTGTTTTGATTTTGGTGATTAAATCTGATGGCTTTGTTTAGAAATTGGATGGTTTGTTCATGAATAAGGACATTTGCACGGATATTTATACCTGAATTATCTATGAAGGCAAAATTAAGATGATGTCTTCGTTACACTAGTTGGAATTTATTTAACTATGAACATGCCAGGTCTTGTACGGAATTCTTGTGTGAAACCATACCGCCACCATCCATTTAATTATAGAGATAGTTCATGATCTTGAGTTACTTGGTTCTTTTTAGTGACGTTGAGTTCAAATTACACACGGGTATAGGTTCTGATTAACTCAATAATATTCATGTAGTTTGAAATGTGAGCTTCTAATATAATCTGCTTGTTTACATTTTTATGCTTTTGGCCTTTTTTTTTTTTAAACAGTACTAATTCCACTTCAAAAGTGGTTAACTTTCAGCTATTGTAGGAGCAGGAGTTGCTGGGGTAATTCTTGTTGCCGGGCTTACATTTGCAACCTTTTCTATCAGCAAGCGGAACACTTCCAGTGAGTAGTTATTTTCTCAATCGCAGTTGAATTTTTGTTTAAAGCTTGAAGGTTGGGGATGTATGAAGTTTATGTTTCAAATATTCTCTTTGATTTCATCTTGGTTTCGAAATCGACTTTGAACATAGATAATTTTATTTTTAGGGTCTGTCTGTATATGTTATTGCCACGGCTGAGTGAATATGCTCTATTTTTTGTTATATAATTATATACATAATTACATTTACTGGAGTCTGCAGGACTGGCAAAAGAGATGGAGCAGTTGACAAAACAACAGGAAGTGTCCTTGGCCTCTGACGACCAGGATGATAGAATTGAAGACGATCAAAGTGCGGGGAAAAATATGATGCAAGAAGACAGTTGTGTGGAAAGCAAGACAGGTATAGACAAGGATTCTTCTTCATATACAGAAAATAATGAAGCAACCACTGACAATAGACTAATTGATGATGTTGATGTGGGGTACACATTGAATGGTAATGCTTCCATTCAACAAGATTTGCAAAATGAATTAGCTATTGATGACATGTTAGTTGCTCCAAATAGTAGTCCAGGTGCACCTAAACTGCCTGAGTATGAGATTGCTGATGGTTCTTTCATTACCTCAAACTTAAATAGTTCAGGTGGTAGTCCTGTTTCTGAAAAACCAGATTCGATTACTGAACTAAAAGAGAACCATACCGATGGCAAGCTTGCCAACTCATCTGCATCTGATGCTAATTTAACAAATATTAACACTAACCACGAGGAGGGAGGGGTTATCTCCAGGGAAACAGATAATTTCAACTTTTTATCTGACTCATCTTCCAGTTCTGTTGCTTATAGCTCCAGTGAGTCTCTAGATTTCAATACATCAGTGTCACAGTTGGATGCAATTTTAGAACCCCAGATTGTACATAAAGAGAATGTAGAGACTGTAAATTTGCTTTCAACCAAAGATGATCTTGACCTGAGCAAAGCACAGGAGGTCTCAGTTGAGGGAAATAAGTCATCACTGGAAGTGCATAATTTAAATGGAGATGGGTTAGCTGAAACAACTTCAGTGTCAGCAGTAGCCTATCCATTTGCAAATGAACAAAATGCAAATGAACAAGATGCAAATGATTATAATGATATCAGCAGAAGCAGATCATTTTTTGAATCAAAAAATCCTGGAAATTCCTTCTCCTCTGCTGGTGTACCTGCTCCATCTGTGGTTTCTGCAGCTCTACAGGTGCTTCCTGGGAAGGTTTTGGTTCCTGCAGTTTTTGATCAAGTTCAGGGGCAGGCACTTGCAGCACTGCAAGTCTTAAAGGTACTTCTCCTCTCAGGAGTGGTTACAGTGCAGCCGTGTTTTTTTATAGTTCAATTGTTTCTATTCTTTTGAATCTTTAGGCAATTTTGCTGCCTGAAAGCATTTCAATATAATAAAGGGCAAAAAAATAAAATTAATTAAATAAAAGCTAAAGAAAATTTTATTTACCTGCATAATTTAGTTGTCAATGAATGATGGAAGATACCTGCATTTATAAGGGTAGCAAAGAAAATTGAATGAAAGTTTTTAAACATCAGCTATGACTGAGCTGAGGCATAACAGTGATTATATAATTCTGTCCTTTTGCACCTGAACTATGTATATAAATCCAATTTATATCATCTGTTAAGAGAAAAGTAGGTATGCTAGCTTAAAAGACCAGTCTGAACTCCAACGTCCAACTTTCAATGATGGAATTGCTAACAATTCAGTATTATGAATACATTAATGCATCTGTGAGAAGTGTTCTTGTGAAAGGTACAAATGCTTATTTTGGGGAGAGATCTCAGATTCTCAGTCAGGTGTCAGTATGTTACACAAATTAGTTCTTATGGATAGTTTATATAACTTTTACCACGCTAAAGAGTGTTAAAGATACCAATGGGCAAGTGGCCTAGCGGTACTAGGCCCCTACTTCCCAAAGGGAGGTCATGGGTGTGTGAGTGACTAAGGAAAAAAATAAAAAAAAATCACGCGTGAGTACCAGAGTGTTAAAGATCTGTATGCCTCATAGTTTTAACTAAAAACCATACATCTTTCTTCTTGAAGGAACTCCATAAATAAGTAGCAAACTAAGCCAATGAATGGAACTAAGCCAAATCAAACAAAGAAATATTTTTGCAAAAATCTATGGTCTTGGGCTTATTTTGCCCCAACCCAGGCCAAAAATATAATAGAAGAAGAAGATAAGAACTGCAGTTCAGGAAGAAAAAAAATAGTAGAAAAAATCTTAGACTCGTGGACAACCATAGCCATTAGCCTTGGAAAGAGAGAGAAAAAAAAAAAAAAAAAGAAAAAAGAAAAAGGAAGAGGTACCACTCTGTGCTGAGTTTTAATGATGAAAAAGAGTGTGAGGCCTTGTGTTTTTAACTGTGAAGAAGATTATTAATGAAGATGCGGTTGACGATAAATCACTGGAGAATATCATGAAGGTAGCTGATGGGGGAAGGAAAGAACCTCTATTATGGGCTAATGCTAGGGCTGAAAAATGTGTAATACCAGAAAAAAAAAATGAAGAAGAAAAATGACATCAGAGGAAAAAAAAAAGGAAAAGAATAAAGAAAATATAATTAGGGACAGAGTGAAGTGATAATCTAACGATTTGTCAAAGCATAGGAAGACAACTTTTTCTCACCTTCAGAGGGACTTCCAAACAAGCAGTTAAATAAGTGTGGAGAACCCCTGTCAGACAGGTCATGGATATTGATTTGGGTTATATGTTTGAGATGGTAGCTATTGAACTCTTCCCTAACAAGGCTATACAACAAAGGAATATGGAGTGGATACCTAATTCAATCGAAGTTATATAATTTCTATTTTTTTTTTCTGTTCAGTGCTTTGATATTCCAAAACGACTGTACACTACCCAATTCTATGAAGCCCTTTTTCCCCATAGAAAATTTATTTAAACCAAGTTAATGATGAAAATAGTATTGGCTACAATGATAATTATACTTATTACCTCCTTGTCCAAGATTTAGTGATTAGACCAATTTGATTTCTTAACTTAAACTAACAATTGGAGTAGAATCAACATCATCTAATGTAGTAGGGTAATGAATTTGCTATTAATAATGATAACTTACTTTCATATGGTGATAATCCTACTAGAGTTGGTAAAAGTTTTTGGAAGGGTCGAAAGCTGCCATAAAAGAATTATCTTGGGCCTATGGGGGCCACTCTTTCCCTAAACAACTGAATGCGTTAAGTCAGCGTATGCAGTTTTTTTTCTCTCCCTTCCTGCACTTCTCATGCCAGCAAAGGGCTAAATAATCAGTTCATAGAGTTCTTTAGACTTTTTCTGAGCCTCTAAGCTAATTTTCCTTGAACAAAACAATGCTTGCCAATGGATGTGATTCATATCATTTGAGCAAGTTAGAGAACGATACTACTAGTCGCAGTATTATAACACAAAAAGGAAATGAATATTTGAGAAAATGAGAAATATTATAGTATACGTGTGTGAGAAACAGATGAGTGAAAAAGAGCTCTACTCCAGCTAACAATGGAAACGCATGAGGACCCTATAAAGGACTTAAGCTATATCTCCTCTTGAAAATAACCTTTCAGGGCAGTGCCCCCTTGGGCAGGAATTGGCCCTGGATTTTTTCTGCGAAGGGCCAAGATATCTGTTCTGTGACTCTAGGCTCTTAAAAACAATCTTTCAGAAGGGAGATGTAATTTCATGTACTGCAAGAACTTTCACTCGCTCATTTATTGGAACATAAAGAGTTGGCCAGCAATTTTGGGGAAGCTTTATCTTGCTTCTTTTGTGGTTCAATCTTAATTCCTTTTTCTGCCTCATGAAAAGTGCTCTGTTGTCTTCTATATAGCCTCCGCTGATCATGTCCTCTCAGTTGATGGAATAGTTTTTCCACCCGGCTCTATGAAAAACTAAGGCATTACTTTATCCACTATACTGTGTGAGCTGTTGCTAGTATTCTCTATCTAGTTTATTTTCAGAACATTCTACAGCTATGGTCATGTAAAAATGGATTATTAGGAATTATATTCTATTGTATTTGAAGACTTAATTTTACTTGAAGTAGATTATGAATTCTTTTTTCATTTTTTCATTCTATATACATTTTAAAGTGAAAGAGCTCAAATATTGGGTTTCATCGTATAGCTACAGCAGGGATGTGCCTAGTTCTAATGCCATAGAATTGTATTGGGAATCCTCATGTTGTCTTGCCTTGTGTATTTGGTTATACAACCTATGAAGATAATAAGAAAAATTGCAATCTTAATTGATTCTAAATCTTTTCAGGTTATTGAGGCTGATGTTCAACCAGGTGATTTATGCACTCGTCGTGAGTATGCTCGTTGGTTGGTTTCTGCCAGCAGTGCTCTTTCGAGGTATGCATGTTTCTCTGGCTTCCACGACCTGTGTAATGGTTATGTTGGTGGTGACAAATGCATTCTACATTGTAAAATGGGACTATGATTCCTTTCTATTCCTTGTAGAAACACTCTCTCGAAAGTGTATCCTGCAATGTATATAGAGAATTTCACTGAACTTGCATTCGATGATATTACACCAGAAGACCCTGATTTCGCATCCATTCAAGGTAACTCTACAAGTTCAAGGCTTTGGGCTAAAAAGGTTATTAGAAAGGTTTCCATTGGTTCAAATATTTATTTTCTTTAATGGATTTTCTGAATGAGCTGGATCTTTCAGGCTTGGCAGAAGCTGGGCTTATCGCCAGCAAGCTTTCAAGACGTGATTTGCAGTCTTCTTTAGAAGAAGACCAGAGTTCCTTCTGCTTTTCTCCTGAAAGGTGGACCATACAACTACTCAGGAATATAACTTCTCGTGCATCTTTTAGATTGTAGTTTTTTTTTTTTTTTTTTTTTTTTTTTTTAAAAAAAAAAAAATTCAACTTTTCCCTGGATTTTTCTACCTCCATTGAGAAAATCCTGTATGTGAGTGGTTTTTATGATTCAATTTGGACACACCCCCTTTGCACTTCTCTTATTCGCTTTCTGTCTACCATTCTTTGTATTAATGAATCTCATAGTTTTATATGCTAAGTGCAATGCAGCTATTATTTATTCCTAGCCTATTTGTATTTTCTTAAATGTCCTCTCCTTCCATTTAGTTGTTTTGATGCATAATATATCTTTGTACTTCATTGTACTCATAACTGCATTGTCTCTTGGTGTCTCAGATTTGTCGCTAAGGTACTTAGTTAAAGTTCTCTGCTTCCACTTTTTTTTTCCTCTTTTATTCATCAATTTTTTTTTGCAGCCCTTTATCACGTCAGGATCTTGTGAGTTGGAAGATGGCCCTAGAGAAAAGACAGTTTCCAGAAGCTGACGGAAAGGTAACATAAATTGAAGAGTGGTTTTTATGTTTTATCTGCTTTTCATGCGTGGTCATAAATGTTGCTGATGAATTCTGAATTTAATAATCCTCTTGCATGTGGGCAGATCTTGCACCAACTCTCTGGTTTCATAGACATCGATAAAATCAATCCAGAGGCGTGGCCTGCAATCATGGCTGACCTATTAGCGGGAGAACAGGGGATAATAGCACTTGCATTTGGTGAGTTATATTAACGTGTAACACTTTCTAGAGGATAAGCTTGACTTCGATAATTAACGTATGGTTACTCCTATGATATTTGATAGGCTACACAAGACTGTTCCAGCCGGATAAGCCGGTGACAAAAGCTCAAGCTGCTGTTGCTCTTGCAACTGGTGAAGCTTCTGATATGGTCAGCGAGGAGCTTGCACGTATTGAAGCAGAGTCTATGGCAGAAAATGCTGTTGCTGCACATAATGCTCTGGTAGCTGAAGTTGAGAAGGATGTTAATTCAAGTTTCGAGAAGGAGCTATTGTTGGAAAGGGAAAAGATCGATACTGTGGAGAAATTGGCCGAGGAGGCAAGACGAGAGTTAGAAATGTTAAGAGCTCAGCGAGAGGAAGACAATATTGCTTTAATGAAGGAACGTGCTGCTGTTGAATCGGAAATGGAAGTTCTATCAAAGTTAAGGCATGAGGTGGAGGATCAGTTGCAAAGCCTTATGACTAACAAGGTGGAGATCTCTTATGAGAAAGAAAGGCTTAGTAAGCTTCGAAAAGAAGCTGAAATTGAGAATGGGGAGATTTCCAGATTACAATATGAGCTGGAGGTTGAGCGAAAAGCCTTGTCCATGGCCAGGTAAGAAAGATATTAATTTTGAATAGAGGTAATTATTTATTGCTAGCATTCAGTTTAGATGCCTAGAACGTGAAAAATAAATATAACCAAGATTTTTCAGGCACATTATGTCTTGCTATTTAAGAGACAAGGTAGTGAAACATGTGGTGAATAATAGTTGATGTTAGTGTATGAGCATACAAATTAGTTATTTGTTAATATTTACTACTAATTTTTTGTGCTATATATGTCATTACAATGTACAGTAAGAATTTTACATTGGTGCACTGTGGTACTTATTTTGTTTCTTTTGGCCAGTTTCTACTATCATACTTGCACCTAGTGAAGGCCATGACACATGTTTTGCTATGTGACAAATTTACCTCAGAACTATATGAATAGCATCACAAATTTTGATGCTTATAAAATATAATGTTGGTTAGATTGCACACTTGTTGGGCATTTCGAGGTATAAAATGCGATTATAAACTTCTTCCTTGCAGATGGCTTGAAGCTCATAGACTCATAGTAGATAATATATGTTGGTTTCCTACAAATCTATGGGGGTGTCAAACAGGCAAATTGTTATGGTGGTCAAAAGTACCTTATTGGTCATACTGCTCTTCGTTGACTTTTTGGCTTTATGGTTTGAAATCACCACCTAAAGATAGTGCATTTATCTTTGTAGAAGTTGAATTACCTTTGTTATCTTTCATGCAGATATTATTCTTACAATATAATAATTTTATACAAATCTTATTAGTTTTTTTTTTCATGAATTGTATGTCTTTGATCATGAAATAGAACTTTCAATTGCCTAAAACATTTAATTTTTATGAAGAAAAATTTTGCTGTTTGAAATTTGAAGTTTTTTTTTTTTGGATAGTTAAGCCAACATGTGTCACACACTTTTTTGCCCACGCCAGGGCTCGAACCCCTCCCCTCTTCTTTGAAGATGAGGAGGTTATACCATTAGGCCAAAGGCCCTTTGGTTGAAATTTGAAGTTGTTTTTATGCTTGTCTTGGTATTTATCTAGTATTAGCAGTTCCATGTCTCAATATCATCTGACATTTGCAAAATTGTTGTATTAAAAATTCCGAAGTATCCTTTTGGCATGGAAGTAATCGTGTAATCAAATACCTGAAACTGGCTAAACATTTTTATAATTTGATTTCTCTAGTTTCTATTGACATTTTGAATCTTGTCAAATAGAGCTTGGGCCGAAGACGAGGCAAAAAGAGCAAGAGAGCAAGCAAAAGCCCTGGAGGAGGCCAGAGACCGCTGGGAGAGGGGTGGCATCAAAGTTATTGTTGACAATGACCTGCGTGAAGAGGCCAATGCGGGAGATACATGGCTCAATGCTGGAAATCAGCTCTCAGTTGAAGGAACTGTCAATAGGGCTGAGAACTTGGTGGCCAAGCTCAAGGCAATGGCAGCTGATGTGGGGGGGAAATCCAGAGAGACCATTGATAAAATCATTCACAAGATACTTGTCTTGATATCTGCTTTGAAAGAGTGGACCTCCGTGGCAGGCAGACGGGCTGGAGAGCTAAAAGATGCTGCCGCGTCCAAGATGGGTGGTTCTTTACAAGAGTTGCAGCAGAGCTCAGCCGAATTTACTTTGGCTCTCAAGGAAGGAGCAAAACGGGTAGCAGAAGATTGCAAGGAAGGAGTTGAAAAGTTCACACAGAAGTTTAAGACATGAACTCCCTTTCTCCCTGGAGGTCTTTCCATTTCACCAATAATCATTTTTGCCAGGTGATTGCTGCTAAGAAGGCGCAGATGTATCTTCCATTTTTTTACTTTTTTGACCCTCCTTTTTTGGGTCATTGTGCATTTGGCCTTTACTATAATAGGGAAAATAAAGAAGAAAATGTAGTGTTGCAAATTCGTAACTTTTTTTTGCACCTAGTAATTGCAGAATTATAGACTCCCTTAGTGATAATATATGCATCATTGCCAGTTCCTGGTTAGTCTTATCATTTGATAAATAATGAAAGTGATAATACTTGGCACGCCCTGCATTACGGATTTACTTACTTTAAGATGTTGATTTTGGAGTTTTGACTGGTGTGGAAAATTTTTATTTTTGCAGAATATTCAGTTCAAGGCGGGGCTTTCGTCTTCAGTTCACCTCTCCCATTTAAAGCAACTAGGAAATAAGGCTTCTCCTTTGGGTGGCTCATGCTTAGAGATCAGAGTCTCTCAACCCTAAACTACATTGGATATCCACCTCAAGAGTTGGCTACCATGCTTTGGATGTGTCTGATTTTTTCTCTCTTTGGATCAGCCTCCTCCCTCCCTTTTCAAGAGACGGGAAAAAGCAACAGAATAAATTTAAAAATGGTAGCCGACTCAAGTAGTTGAGAAAAAGGCTTGTTTGTTGTTGTAATGAATGTACAAATGGTTGCAATGAATTTCACTTGTATGGTCTCATTTTAAAATCGTTAGCATGTTCATGATGAATGTTACTTTAATCTCCCTTTTTTTCTTTTCTTTTTTCTTTTTTTTTCTTCTCTTGCACTGTGATTGTATGAAGCTCAAAGGGTCTAGAAAGTTCAAAACCAACCTCGCGAATCTGATCCTTATCTTGGAACACCGATTTCCTCCACACATTGTATATGTGTTACGGTGATTGGTAGTGGTATTGCTGATCAAACAAGAGGAACCCTCTTTGATTTGAGATAAATTTTGTTGTTTACATTAAGATGTTAAATTGAAGACACGACTCTCTCAATATAGTCGTACGTGTTTCATTTCACTTTGCAGTAAACAACCCATCACACTTGCTAGAGAGAAATGCACAATACAAATGTTCAACAATTCAATGGAAATGTTTTTATTTTGAAAGACTGAAATGCAGTCATTCTTCTCCCATTATCTTTGCATTTCCATTTCTTTTCTTTTAATTTTCTGTCAAGATTACTAAAACTAACCACCTATTGCCTGGTTGACAGTTTCTAAAACATTTTTTTATTTTTTGAATTATTGAGAAACTGATTTTAAAGAACCCAACCAAGCAGCCCTTTTTAAAGATACCATAAGAGCAGTAGTAACGTAAATGTCAAAATCGATGGAAATCAAGGAAAGAAAGGGAAGGACCAAAAAAAAAAGGAAGGAAAGGGAAGGAAAAAAGAAAAAACAGAAAAGCATGAGAAGGTAAGTGTTAAAGTCCGATGCATATCGAGGAGGGAAAGGAAGGAGAAAAGAGAGAAAAACAAGGAAAGGGAAGGACAAAAAAAAAAAAAAAAAAAAAAAAAAACGAAGACACCATCTTGAGGAAGCAAAGTTAGTACGACCAAAATACCACTAAAAACTAAACAAATTTACAGAATGACACAGGTTAATATGTGTTCATCAGACCAAATGATCGGGACAATATATAGTTTATATTTTATTTTTTTGGTCTCCAGAAACCAGTGTGGCTTCTACTGGCACTGTGATACAGTAAATGGAAATTTTGAAGAAATAAGAGAGGAGTTGGTTGGAAGGCTTGAGTTGACTTGTAGGTAATCAGTCCTCCTCTAATCTCCTCTGTACCATATATATATATATATATATATATATATATATATAAAGAGCATCTAAGAAACAACCTGGAACAGTGACAAACATGGTTTATATTGCACAAAAGTAAATGTCAAATGGTACACCACAGCAACGGATAAATTCAGATAAAATTTTGAAATACTAATAAGGTTGTAACAATAAACAAATACAATTGAGACAACTACGGGTCAGGTGCCATGTAAAGACCACAAAAATGTTACGCTTCGGCAAGTAACTCAAGCACATTACCTCTCAGCTGTAACAGGATCTCTTCTTTTAACCCTTTTCTTCATCATCTCAGCCCATCTTGCAAAGAAATTGGAGGCCTCAAACTTCCCTGAAAACTTCATCTTTTGAGCCAACTCCTCGAGTACATCAGGTTTGCCAGCTCTTGAGAAATCAGCAGCAAACTTGTTGTAATCAAGTTGAGGAGCCTTCATTCCTTTTTCTATCATTTCCTCTAAATATTTACAAGCCTCCTCCGATCTTCCCTGTCTTATAAGCCCTCCAATGAGAACAATATAAGAATTTTCATCAGGGCAACACCCTTTTCGACTCATCTCCTCCCAAACTGCACAACCCATTTCATAATTTTTCGTCACGAAGTAAGATTTCATCATCATGTTATAAGTGTGTATTGTTGGTTGAAATCCACTTTGAACCATCTTTTTGTAAATCCTAACCGCATCATCTGGCATTTGCCGATTTGTCATCAATTTGATCAAGGCATTGTATAAACGCACATCCGGTGGACATCCTTTTTCTTTCATCTCTTTCAATAATCCATACACTTTGTCCATCTTTTTCTGATTCCCAAAGCCCGTAATCAAACAAGTATAAGCTGCGGCATCTGGCTGGCAGCCAGAACCAAGCATCTGCTCAAAGTATTCAACAGCTTCTCTCATTTTTGTTTGCTTGCAGAACTCCCTAATTAAGATTGTATAACTTCGAACAGTAGGAGTTGGGCCCTTGGCTTTCATAACGTCAAACAACTTGATTGCATCACACCTCTGTTTACCCCTTAACAAACCTTCCAGCAGTGTATTATGGGCACAATATCAGGCTTAAAACCCTTATCAATCATCTCATTCCATACCTTCCCCGCCTCCATCAAATTCCTCCCCCTGCACCAACCATTAAGCAACACTGTGTAGGTCCTTAAATTCGGGGTAAACCTCTCTTCCAACTTGTCAAACAAAGCTTGAGCTTCCTTCCCAAGCTTTGCCCTCCCAAGTGTTGGGATTTATATGCCCTGACATAGTAAATTCCTATCTGGATTATAATGACATATGTTCCTGACATATCTGAAATATTTATGATTTATATAATTGGTGAATTCAATGTATTATGTTTCGATTCACTATGAAATTGATAGTGTCCATGTAATTACAAGAAATAATTATATATATGTATGTGATGGCAATCAATGCATGATATATAAATAGTAATTATAAATTGTTCATATTCGGTAATTATGGATGGACTCATAATTAATTAAGACTTGAACTGGATCCGCGTTAGGTTGAGATATATTGCGAGAGCCGTCGTATGCAATTACTCCCTATCACCGTCATGGCATTTGACTCTTAAGCATGAGAAAAGTATAAACTCTTTTATTAATTAATAATTACTTTGATTTGTTCGGCGGATTCTTCGAGATCCTTAGACCGACAATTCGGGTAGTTATGTAATTAATAGTTAGAGGGTTATATTTTCAATATTTGCATCATTGCTACTTGTATTTATTTTGTATTGATTATGGTTGATCACAAAGTAAATTCGAAGGCCTTCGTATGATTTTAGACAAAATGATTTATTATATATTTATTTATTAAATTATTATTTTTGTCGAACAAATGTTTTATTGTGATCGAGCCAGAAATAATCAAAGGTACCAAAATAAATATATTAATTAAGTAGTCGGATTGATGGCATTATTTATCCGATAACTAATTATGCATAGAGGGGTCAAAGTGCAACATTGACTTAGAGGTTATTTATTATTTAATTGGAGTTCAATTAATTTCTTTTAGTAGAGTAGAAATTAATTTATAAATTAATTTAATTGGGTCCATGGACCGGGCCAATCATTAATTCATTGTAGCCAATAAAATAATAGGCCCAATGGATTCTCACTCATAGCCCAACTTGATATTGGAATCATATTAGATTTGAGACATATGAATTAGAAATGGAGAAGGATTTGTTATTTCCTTTCCTTTATTTTTATATTGCCTATAAATATACATGGTCAATGTATATTTTAGGGGGTGATTTTTAATGAGAAGGAAAAAGGAATTTATTTTTTCTCTCTAGAAAATTAGGGTTTATGTTCTCATTTAATGGAGGCTCCCACAAGCCTAGTTTTTCAAGGTCATTCATGGAGGCTTATGAGTGATTCCTAAAGGCAAAACAATTACCAAGAAGATGGAGATCCAAGAAGAAGGCATCTTGCTAAGGGATCTACAATAAGTGAGAACATTCACTTTAGAGGAAAGTTTTAAAGGTTTACTCAGACCTTTAATGTAAGTATTCAATCTGTTAATTGAATAATACATCATATTTTTATTTTTGCATAAAACTTGTCTCTATGTGATGAATCAAGATCTATGAATCAAAATCCCTCAAAAAGTTTTTAAAACTAGCACGTTTCCCAACACCAAGTTCATCTAGCAAGCAATTGATGGACATCCCTGTTAAACATGAGTTGGACCCAGTAAGCTACATGGAAGCGTGAACCGATGTGGATACAGATCGTTTTGGTGAGTTACTATGAAATCAGAGTTGGAATCTATGTATTCTAATAAATTCTAGGATCTTGTAGAATTTTCTAGTAGGGTGATTCCTATGGAAGGCAAGTTAATCTACAAAAAGATACCAAAAGATTTCTTAGTGAATAAATCATGAGTGTACAAGGGAATGTCATTATTTTTCTAATTCTATATATATTGATGACATCCTACTCATTTAGAATGATATGGAAGTTTTGTCATCAATAAAGAGGTAGTTGTTCAATTACTTTTAAATGAAGGATTTTCAGGATGTAAGCTAGATTCCTAGGATCACGCTTTTGCAAGATCAGGGTAAAAGGAAAATAGGCTTATCTTAATAATCCTACATTGATAAAGTTTTGACCAGGTTTGGTATGCATAACTCAAAGAATGAGTTCTTGCTTTATTGATCTGGATGGCTCTCTCTAGTAAGTAGTTTTTCAAGACTATCAAAGGAGATTGAGCAAATGAGACTGGAACAATATGTTTCGGCATATGAGAGTCTCATATATACCATGGTCTATACCAAACAGGACATCCGCTACATAGTAGGGATAGTCAGTAGAGATCAGTCCAATACTGGACTTGACAACTGGTCTATTGTGAAAAATATCATTAAGTACCTAAGGAGAACCAATAATATCATATTCATTTATGGATGTGATGATATGGTCCTAGTCAGGTATGCTAGTTCTGATTTTCAATCAGAAGTAGATACTATAAGGTTCATGACTTAGTGTATGTTCACTTAATGGAAGGGAGATCAGTTGGTAGATTGTTAAGCAGATTTCAACTGCTGACTAAAACCTGTAGGTGGAATATATTGCAGCCTTAAAGGCGGCAAAATAAGCCTATTGGTTTGATCTCACTGATTTAGAGGTTGTGGAGCATACTAGCCTGCCTATCGAGCTATATTGCGACAATAGTGCAGAAGTAGTCCAAACCAATAACCCAAGGTTCCATAAATGAACAAAATACACTGAGAGGAAGTATCATGTTCTACATGATATTGTCCGGCAAGAAAATGCACTTGTAGTTAGAACATTGCATTGGAACACAACGTTGTTGATCCATTATCAAAGGTGTCATTGATCAATAATTTTGATCATCATCTGGATAACATT